CCTATCCCCCTGTGTGCCTTGACCTCCCCAGACTAGAAAAAATTATAATCAAATACAAAACGAGGCGTTAACCATTTGATTGGGCGCAGATTTAATCTGGGCCGTTGACTGACACTGTAGTTTTCCTATATATACACACTAGTGTTCGTAAAATCAAATCGAAACGATTAACTAGACATGGGTCTAGAAGCGGTTTAACTAGCCTAACCGGTAAACCGGCCGATTCAATCGTTCTAACCGGGCAAGTGATGTGGGTCAAAAGAATGTTGAAAAAAATAAAAAATCAACTAAAATATGATAAGCATGTAAAGAATGAATTAAAAAAAAAAAAACACAATCACATGAAGTTGAAAATTAATGAAAAAAATGGATTTTAACCCATTTTATATTTTTCAATGGCTATTTTTAAAGTTTTCTAAAAAAAAAGGGAAAATATGAAAGTAAGTATTAATGACCAAAACAATTTTTAATCTTTATCATAATGTAAAGAATATTTAAAAATGCATTACAAATCAAATTCATTATTTTTGAGAATTTATATACATTTTTTATTTTATTTATTTTTAAATATTGGTTGATCACCCTAACTGCCCAAAACTGGAACCGGCCACTGGCCGGTTCTGATCTAACCGGGTGATTAACGGATAGATCGGGCGATTTTGTGAACAATGACACACACGCACACACACACAAATATTTAAAATGAAAATATCACTTAAAGGGTCAAATTGTATTACAATTGTCATTAAAGTCATAAAGTCATCCTATTTAACAATGGAGTTGAAAATGGTGGAGAAACCACGACAGATCACTTGGAGGCCTTTTGGAGCTTCGAAAGTCCTGCAATGGGAGGCATGATGGAGAGGGACAAGCTCGAGCTGTGTAGCAATGGAGGATTGACAGTGGTAGGGAAGAGGACAGGGTGTAAAAAGGGACGGAAAATGACAACGGGTAGCATAAGGCCCGATTAAACCTAGTTTAAGTAATGAAAATTGTTTCATGCCGGCTGGACTACATTTTTACATATGCGGTCGAGAACGTGTAAACATCCATCTTAAAGATAGATGCAAGTAGGTGTCTCATCTACAAACAATAGAAACTAGCTGTCCAAATATTTTTTTTAAAATTATTATTTATAATTTTTAAAATTTATTTATTTATTTATTCATATTCATGATCTGCATTAGCCTTAAAATCTATATCCAAAATAGATTTATTAAGATGCTATGCGGGAAACGGGTCCTTTAAGTAAAGCCGTGATATGTCAATTCTACCTTTTCTCGTGGAATTTGTGTGAGACGGCTTCAACTCGTTTTAGGCATACACAAAACCTGGAAATGGACCCACTGCAATCTCCCGAGAGCTTTGTCATTGCAAAACCTGGATAAATAAAATCTGTATCTGTGACTAGGTCCCAAACAACCCATTACTTCTATAAGTAAGATTGCAGTCTTACATAGACCGTGGCCTTTGTTTATTATTCAAATTATGTGTTTACAGTTAACAAAAAGGAGCGGTTCGGCATAAAAGTACACATAAAAAATCAACAATTTAATATTTTTCATATAGCACTTGATTTGATTTTGATATACCAATTAAAATATACATGACCATTAGTTGAAAATAAGGAAGAACTATCGAAAAAAAGTGGTAGTACTGCCTAAGCTATTGGGCTAGGCCTCATTTCTTAATAACGCATTTTGAAAATTGGCTATTCGACTTCAAAACTCTTTTTTTAAAAAAATAATAATAATGATCTTGTGGTTCTTAGATGGTTCCCAAAATTTCAGAACAAAGAAAATCCTTCAAAGTATGTACATTTAATGCGCGGTATGCTCCTGCCGGAGCATAGGAACCCTCCTCCAATCGCCGAAAATAGAAAAGGAGAACATGACTAATATAGTGATTAAATTTCCATGCACAATATGATTATGTTCACATGCATCGCTATGATATTTTGATTGATGGACATATTTGAAAGATGGAAAAAGTTCATATAAGGTCGCAACCCTATGCTATTTAAGTAATGTGTACCCCAAAAATCTTATAGAAGATAGGTTTCGCTTTAGGGAACCTCCAATTTATCATCTCAACCTTGAAAATTATGGATGTGAAAAAAAAAAAAAAAGAATTCAAGTAAAAAATAATAATAATGTTTATTGTAGCAAGTTATCTTGACTAATGCTTCTCGTAGCAAGTTATCTTGACGGTCTATTTTTAAGATTTTCAAGTGTTTATTAATATGCTCGATATGTACTATTTTTAATATTTTACATTGTATAGCTGGATATGAAAATAAATTTTCAAACCATTACAAGGTTTCCAATGCTAGAATAACATCTCTAAACAAATTTTGATGCGTACCTTACTTATACAGGATAAGGAGGCAACCTAATACAACCTTGTACAAACACCTTTGAAAGATTGATAGTACTATTTCCCTTTAATGACATATTCCAATATTCATGCTAGATGACTCTTGTGCACAGAAATATTTTGTAAAAAAAAAAGTTTATATATGGTGTCAACTTTGTATTATAAAAGCAAGGCATCTCTTCAAAACCTTAGAAAACCATTTAATTGATTATCTTAAGCTCAATAATTACATATATGAAGGAATTTCAAGTCTTAAAAATTACTGCATCTTGTAACAAATTATGTAGGCCGTTCATTTTCAAGATTTTCAAGTGTTATAGATCTATGCGATCAACAATATTTTTGAAGTTCTAAATTTCATAATTTTGGGTGAAACTAGATTTTTAAGCCATTGCAAAGGTTTCCGACAATAAAATATCTTTTCTAGTAGAGTTTGGAGCTAGGTGTTACTATGATCGTTTAAGATTGATCCGTTGTATAAATTGCACCACTTTATAAAGAGTGATTTATGTACGGACCTTAAAATTTTAGGTAAAATACGAAATGCTCCACGTATATGCGAAAATTACAAAGAATGTTAGTCAACCCTCTTCTTTTTTTTTCTTTTTTATTTTTTCTAAAATTACCCCTTCAATTAACTTGTTTTTTTTTTTCATTAGTAGGGTAGTGGTTAAAGTTTGGGGCACTGCCCTATTAACGAGAGAGAGAAAAAAAAAAAACAACTAATATTCGAGTTGATCAAGGGACAATTTTAGAAAGAGA